CAATTTTTTGTCGTGCTTTTGTTTTCAAGTTCTTCTTTGATTAGGTACTATTTTTTAAGTGGAAATGGAATTGTTTCGGTGAATGGAGTGGAAAAACATGTTGGACCAGGTACAACAGTATGGATACCAGCACATGCTGAGCGCTTTTATCATAATACGGGCACTGAATCGTTGAAATTTTTGTATGTCTTTGCACGAGATAAGTATAGTGATGTGCACTATACCTTTGCTGGTGAATCAGAATCAACATCGTAGTCTCCCTCGGTTGAGGGTATGGATTTTCTGTTAGTCAAGTCTAAATCCATTCTTAAAAGTAATCGTACGCTTGACAATGTAACAGTATTGAACCGAATAGAGTTTCGATTTCGAAAATAATAAAGAAAAAAAGTCAATATCTATATTGCGAATAAAAGAATGATAGAGCAAAAACAATGCAGTTACGTCAAAAAGAAATAGGTAACACAATTTACTCCACGCTCCTTCTCATTTGCTGTATGTTAGCGAGGTCTGGTAACAATAAAGAAAGTACGTATTTTCTCACGCAGAACAACTTCGATTGTCTTTCCCGGAAAGCAAGAAAACCATCATTCGCCGAATGAACGAAGAGAATGCTTTGGTCATACATCAACAGAAGTAACTTCATACGTGCAGTTGTGTCGGAGAAAAGAAAAAGAAAAAATGCTAACAATAAGAACGTCGATCTTCATGTGAGTCGTCACTCAGGTGACTATTGAGAAGAAAGCTTTTGTACAGATGGGTCGTGTGTTATTGCAACGCAAAAGACGCATTATATAATTACTTTATACTTAGAATAAATAGGAAAAATATCATTGTAGATTGATTCAAAATAAACATGAACGGCAAAGCGCTACTCCTCTGGTTTTATGAATACATTTATCATTACAATCTTTTTCTATCCGAAGAAGATGATTATGAAGACAATGAGAATGATAGCGCTGTATTGAAAGACTCGTCTGTACTTATTAAAAGGCAACGATATGCCACTTATGTGTATGTTGCCCTTCTCGTCGGTAAGTGTATCCAATTCACTTTGAATAGGAGAAGATTGGAAGATTAATTCTCTGTTTCTAGTCACTCTTTATATACTTTCATTCATTGCCCTGGTCACTCCTCGCAATCAAGTAATCACTATGTCTCACATGACTCCGATACTTTTCGACGAACTTTACCTCGAACATAGCGACACTTTGGCTTGCCCATGTAGTACAGCTGTTGTTCCACACAAGGAGTTTGTTTCGAACAACATTACTTTCCATCCCGTATGTTCAAGTATCTTTGTGAGCAATGAATGGATTAAAGCATTACAAATGGAATATGCCAGTGCATACTTAGTGATGGATTTCCGGAAAACAGGTAGCTCTCAGGTGAGTTAAACGAGTTTAAGCCTTATTGAACATGGGTAATAGTGAAAAACTCTTGTTTACACTTCGTCTACCTATAGTCATGCTATTCTGAACATTGTTGAGAAAAAGAATATAAATTCGATTCATTTCTATTTAGTTCGAACTTCTTGCTGCTCTTTGTTCTATTTCTCAAGAGATAGTCTTACAAGCTCTCACTGACTTCAGCAATGAACAACTCATCAGTGCTCAGCTTCTTCAAGAGGATAATGTTCGTTTTCATACTATGGCAAGCATTGATCTTGTTCGAACGACGACTCCTGTTCAGTTGACTACAGTTTTAGAATTTCTTCAAATATCAACGCGATCAAATTTTCTAACCTCTGCTCTTCAGAACAATATGTTACTTACAATATACTCACTGAATGGTCGATTAACTTTATATTTATTTGACAGTACTAACTTTTATAACGAAAACGCTTCCTCCAGTGCCAGTTCGTATGGATCATCGTGTCGCTCGAAAAGTTCGTTAACGCGAGCTGGATTCTATTCATTGCCACTTTACGACAGTGCAGTCAACCACGGTACTTGGCCTAAGCTTCCTCCGCATTTCGAACCAGTGGCTTCTGCAACAGTCGATGGATTCTTCGGTGGATGCAACGCACTTGATGCTCTCCTAGCTAGTACACTTGACTGTCTATACAATACTACTTGTCTCACCCATTTCATGAGCTATTTTCCCAGTCTCAATCAGGTAATGATATACTTTCGAACAGTCAAGTTTGTTGCATAATTTTTTTGTGTTTGTAGATGGATGTCAATATTTCTGGCCAGATTTTATCTTCGCCACGGTCGGGTGTTACTCTGAAAACGCTCCTAAATCAATCGTTCATTGATAATTGGACAACGACTATCAACTATGCCCAATACTTCACACAGTGTGCGCCATTGTCTTGTACTTACACGGAGACTGTTCAGGTTAATATTTCTTATACTGTTACTCTACTGCTCGGTCTTTACGGTGGTTTGACTATTCTTCTGCGTCTTCTCGCAGTTTTCTTAGTGAGAATATTTTCAAAAGTGCCATGTCATTCAATTCATATCAGTCCAGCCGTAGGTACGTTTTAGGATCTCGAAAAGAAGTATTTTATAAAATAAATCATTGTTAATTGCTAGTGAGCGGTGTAACGCAAATCAGAATATTCGCTCTATTTATACAACAAATCAATTTGTTCAAGTCGATCAATAAGCGCACTGCGACAGATATCGAACGACAACGTGTCACTACGCGGATGTACTTAACCGCTCTCGCAAGTTTGATTTCGACAGAAAAATAATGTATTAGTTTGATCTAGTCTCAAGGAAGGATCACAACGGGATCGACCGACTCGAAATAAACGATTAACATGTATTTTGTATCATTTCAGCCTCCATATTTGCCCTGATTCTGTCCACTTCACTCAGTATTGAAACAACTGTGATGATTGTTCCTCGCCCTTCATTGTCGACATACATAGATTTGCAGAGCTCGCAATCGAATATGCTCAAATGCCCTTGTTCAAGCGTAGCCATACCGTATCAAGTCCTAATTTCATGGGCACCAACGTTTCATCAGGTGTGTTCCAGCGACTTCGTCAGCCAACTTTGGAGTTCATCACTGTATTATCTCGATGCCACCTTCCTGAACTATCCACTCACTGAATGGAATAGTTTAGGCATGCGTCATTTCTTGCTACTGTCTACGCTATGCCAACTCAGTTACAAAACTGTTACTGATGCCATACAACGGTTTGGTGGACAATCACTGGTCACTTTGAATGTTATCAACCAAGCTGATTTTACCAGTCAAGTGAATACAACAGTGAATGAATTCACTGAAACATTGATCACTAATTTTGCACTTCTTGTTGATGCCATGCGACTTTTCACGCAAACAGATCAACCTTACACAATGCTTAACAATGCCAAGCTGGTTGCTTCGACGACACGAAACCAGATCACTAATGAAACACTGCTGCAGGTCTGTTGATCTAAAAATTCTAGAGTTATTCTTGTGATTAATACACCCTTCCATAAAAGACTAAAAGTTAGAAGTGTTTTGTACTAAAATATTAGCGAACTGAGAAATCAGATAGGACGGGGGTTTTGTAAAAGGCAAAGGTAAAGTCAATTACTTCTATTTAGATCCAATTTCAACTTACCGGTCCGATAGATACTAGGACAGCAGCGAATCACTGTATTTGCGCTATTAATCCTAATTGTTACAGTCCTGTTACGGTTGCTGTTCTCGTTCTGCAGCGTGGCTATTATGTCTACAGCAACAGTACTTATCGCATGCCAGGATCAATCATGGGCTGTTTTATCGTCGATTCTCTGCTACTCTCCACACTCGAATGTTATTATTTGGATTCATGTCTGACCATATATGACAGTTATATCAACCGCTCTTATCGTGCTTTTAGTATAGATCCACCAGGTTTTCGACCTCGTGCACTCGCTTATGACTCGGCAAAAAGTCGCTTTCCCCCCGATACACTCCTTTCGATGATAGTAAAAGAACTGATGATTGAGCAGTGGAATGTATCCTTCTCATTTGATCAATACTACCAAGCATGTGCGCCAGTCCAATGCACTTATTCTTACACTAGACGAAGCAATGATTTTCTAAGCATTGTAATCACGTTGATTTCAACTGTTGGCGGACTTGCTGCTGCACTCAGAATCATCATACCTCTACTGATAGCTACTGCTTATGGTTTATTCAAATCAAAGAACAGTCAGCAACGAGATCCAGAACAACAAAGTAATGAGAGAAATTTGTTGATTGACGAATAGCCCGGAATAATCATTTTCTTGTTAGACACTCTAAACATCGCTTGTTTGTTTTGTTTTGTTTCGTTTCTAGAAAGCCTAAAAATGTCCGACAGAATCAAGGTGTTATCCGGTCAAGTTGTCCGGCTAATATTCACCAGACTAGCCAATTTAAATATTTTTCCCTTACGAAGCTTTGGAAGTCGTATGGATCGAAAAGATGCAATCTATCTTGGTAAAATAACCACACGCTTTTACATTGTATTTCTCCTCGTGAGCGTCATCATTTTGCCACTGTACACTGCTGTTCGACCTCGAATTATCACAAAAGTGTTCGTGAAACCAACGTTCAATCTGTACAGCAATCTTCGGCGTGATCACGGAGACGCTCTCCAGTGTCGTTGTTCATACATTTCATGGACGTATGATAACTTTGTACACATCAAACCAACGTTTCATCAGGTAAACAGTCTAATAGATCGAATTTATATTATGGTTAACTTCTTAAAGATATGCTCAGGCCCATTTGTTTTGGAACAATGGCGAACTAATATTACGGACAAACTAGTGTCTGATCTGTCTGCTTACCCAATGAACGATTATCGTCGTTTTCTCTCCTCGCATTTACAGTTTCTTTCTGGATTATGTCGCCAAACTACTAAGTCGGTGAACAGATCACTTGCTCAGTTTTTGTCATCGTTCTTCGTCACCAATGAACTTCTTTCACCAGAACTGTTTCAGACACGGATTGAGTCCGCTGTTGACCAAAACAGATTCAAAGCTTCTGTCGTGTTCAATCGTGCTTTATCTTTACTTCGAATTACTAATCATGGAAATGATGTCATATCCGCTTACGGGAGTAACTTTCAGCTTATTGATCCATGGTGGCTCAACAATTCTTATTCGAGCGCGATAACTCGCGCAATAACATACGACAACAATTGTTCCTGTGCGCTGAATATGAGTTGCACTACACAAGCTGGATTTGTCACGACAAGTTTGCCCTCGTTCGTGCCAATTCAAGGTCTCAAAATGGGTTGTACACCAAATGAAGCATTCCTTGCTTCGACACTCGAATGTTTCTATAATTCGACGTGTCTTGGTCTCATCCTACAATATACGATGAACAATAGCGATGCCATCATTGCCAATACTCATGAACCACTTATTACAAACACTAGTCGATTTTCTGTAGGCACAACTGTCATCGATCTTGTTAATGAAGTTTTTATCGAGAAATGGGCAATATCGAGCGACTACTTGAGATATTTCAATCAATGTTCACCTAGCTCATGCTCATATTCGTATATACAACAATTCGATTCACTCTACACTGCGACTGTGATACTTGGTTTGTATGGTGGTTTATCGTTGATCTTGAAATGGATATGTCCTAAGATCATTAGTTTTCTCACTCAAATTTATCGATGGCGAAAACAACGACGACATCTTGTTCAACCCAAATCTCCAATTGCTATGATAATGACGGCAGATTCAGTGCAAAATGTTGACACTACCGATAGTTCTCCTAGTGATGCACATCCAACATCGGATTCTTTTCGAGGAATATTACCGTGCTTCGTCTTTACAATGATACTGATTGTGCTGATGATAGCATCTATTACTGTAACATCTGTGTACTTGGCTCGACGTGATAAAGACCACACTTCGTTAACAGGTATGTTTACTTTTTTTTTCTCATTTGCTCGATATCAGAGTACAATAAGAGTATACTAACCACACGAACATAGACGTGAGCATAGACAAAAAATCGCTCATTTTTTTAAATAAAACTTCCATCATGTGTTTATTAGCATTTACAACGATGACTACCAACACCGAAACGACTTCGACAATAGCAAAAGAGAGCACTACAGCAGGTTCGTATATCAAACGTAAATATTGTGTCAAGATCTATACTACTGACAAAAAAATATGATGAGCAGAGTGGAATGATCACTTTGAATAGTGTAGAACTCAACAGTTTGGATGAAATGAATATGATATTGTAGCATTTCTGTATGTCTGTACAGTGGTGTAAATAATTTTCTTTTCATACTATTCGTTATACTCACCATTCTTTTTTTTCTAGCGTTAATGTGCTCGCCAACATTTCAACTACTCGGTACATATTCGACCGGCTTCAACGCTCAGCCTAATTCGATCGTTACGGCAGACTTCAATCGAGATGGTCATGTCGATCTTGCTTTTGGTAATCAAGAGCCAGATAATATAGGTGTACTGCTCGGTAACAACGATGGAACATTCACCGCACAAACAACATTTTTGAGTGGTTATAGCACTTATGCGCAACTGCTTACTACGAGTGATTTCAATAATGATAATCTGACAGATTTGGCTGTCGGTAGTTACGTGGATGGAGCTATAGGGATTCTATTGAATCGTGGAAATGGAAGTTTTCAAAATGCATCGATATTTTATATCGGTACCGGTAGTTCGGTGTACTCGATTGCTACTGGGAATTTTGATGGTGATGATTATTTAGATATTGTTGTTACGGGAATGAATCCAGCAGTATGCGTACTTATCAGCGACGGTAACGGTCATTTCAATTCACCGATCAATATTTCTTCTAATGTTTTAACTCAAGTAACATTTGTTGTTGTTGGTGACTTTAATAATGATGGTCACTTAGATCTAGTAGGTGTTGAGGAGTACGGTGACGATGGCGAAGCGTTCCTAAATGATGGAACTGGACATTTTCACTCTTCAGAGTCATTCACATTAGCATCCTACAGTCATCCGAATGCATTGGTGACAGGTGACTTCAATAACGATTCGAGACTAGATCTTGCTGTTGTTAACAGAAACAAAGTTAACGTAGCGATCTTACTCGGTCATAATAATGGAACTTTCGATAAACCAGTAGTGTACTCTACGGGAATAAATAGTGATCCTTATTCAGTGGTTGCCGGTGATTTCAATAATGATGGACGACTAGACTTAGCTGTGAGTAATTTTAATAACCACAATGTCGGCGTTTTTCTCGGAATCGGTGACGGTACCTTCTTATCACCACTGAATTTTTTCACTCGTGAATATACTGCGCTCCAAACCCTTGTTACTGGTGATTTCAACAGTGATGACAAATTGGATTTTGCCATTGTGAACTACTCAAACAGCTCTTTACTTATTTTATTGAATACATGTGTCTGCTGTGTCAATTAACTTTTCAATGAAATCTCACGTATGATCAACTTAGATAAGATCAAGAACTTCAGAACTTTTTTCAAATTCATATTCCATTGCCGTCTACATACATTTTTACAGAAGCAGTTCGATGAATGACAATAATCGAATATACCTAAGCTGCGTTCTTTTGACTTCTTCTATATTGCTTCAATAGTCTTCATATGCTAATAAAGATTCTATTCATAATCTTATGATTTTGCATAGGACTGATAGTGTCAGTTTGAGATTGGTCGTACCTTCGTCGAATTGGAGATAGTTATGAAATACCATAAACGTATCTGATGACGATAGCATTGCGATCAGTCTGTGCTTCAGGTGAGAAAATGTTGATGACTACTCGAAATTCTATTGCTTTTTATTGATATTCAACACTACGTACGGTAATTGTTTTTAACTTCAAATCAATGAAGAAGCTACACAGGCGATGTTGACATAAAATGTTTTAACTGATAAAGAAACGCAGAAAATTTTTCATAATCTAAAAATATCTTTTGTTAGAAAAAGTCTTTGTATGAAGAAAAATGAGTAAGATTATTTATTCAACGAAGCACATAGAGTTGACTCTGTTCTTTTCTTCTCATCTCTTATCAACACGATATATTCCTTGAAAATTCACATTTACTTTTAGTGAAAAAGAAAGCGCATGTTATTCGAACATTTACCTGACGAACTTCTCCTCTTTGCCTTTGGTTATCTACACAAATTCGAGATTATTTACGGATTTACGAAGCTTAACCAAAGATTCGACGCAATTGTCATACCATATTTGTATGAGATCGATCTAGCCAATAATCATCGACCTTACAATCGTCATTTTACATTGTTATGTCAATATATTCTTCCTTTAAATGGAAGTCATGTTAGATCGGTGAAACTAGCGGGAAATAAACAATTACAGCTTTTTCGACCGTACATTTGTCAATTGGTTAATCTAAAATCAGTGATTATTAAAGATGAACAAACGGATACTTTCGATGAACCTGATGAACTGTATCGATTTCTAGGGGAAGTTTTATTGATGCCCTCGCTTTCAGAACTTTCTGTTCTCTGTGCTCCATCGAACATCTTAAAGACGCTCTCCTCATTGGCACTAGAGAAACTGACGACTGTAACTCTATTCTATTTTCAAGGCTTATATCATTGGGGCCTCAAAAGTGTGACACGAATGCCTCAAATCACATACCTTTCAGTCAATATGAACGGCGTCGTAAATTTATCGGAGCTCTTGGAAATAACTCCAAATGTGGAATCATTGCATTTGTACTTCAGCGATATGTATGAAAGTGAAATTCAACACACGCATGTAGAATTACCCCGAACATTAAAGGAACTACAAGTAATCCTTGGACACTACACGACGTATTCCTCTATCACATTTTCAGCAACAAAAGGTTTTTTATATATACTCAGAGGTGAATTTGAATCCTTGATGCTAACTGTTATCAATGGAGACAAAGATTTTGCTGATTATAGCAACGTTTACAGTCTCGTAGAAAACTTCGATCATCTGCAAACATTTCAGTATTATATTGAGACCGCATACACGCCCGATTCCCGCTTTTCAAACTTCGAACAGCTACCAGATGCAACTTATTTAATCTATACTTACCCTAAACTGAATCAAGATTGTGACAGAGCTCCATTTAATCGTAAATATTTCCGTTCGGACCTTAATTCACAGCTGACCATGCGATCGCTTTACAATAGCTCGGAGCTTCGGATAGGGACAAACTCCCATGAACGCCGTCCGACAGCGCCCACAATGATTTTGCAAAACAATCCAAGACTAACAAATTTGAAAAGCATCGCATTTGGTTATGGGAGTAACAAACTGGCACCTGATGTGTGGCAATATGCATCACAAGTTATCGCTCTATCACCTAACTTATCTGAACTGAAAGTTACTTATACCAAAAATTTTGTCAAGAAGATATATGGCACCGTACCGTCGAAACAGTTGAAGCGTATCACATATTTGCTTGTCTGGTTCGAAGAGAAGGATAGTGAAAATGGTTTCTATCCTTCAACGTTTCTGCTTGATGTATCGAGAATGATGCCAAATCTAAAAGTTCTCGAACTCAATATTGGATTCGCTGCTATTGCTGTTTTCGTCACATCATCAGTTAAGCTCATTCAAGATGCGCGGAATTATTTTAAAAAAGTAACCTGTGTGAAAGTGTCATCGTTCCTACGGACCGCAGAAGAGAAGGAAGCGATTGATCGTTACAAGAAATGTCTACTGGAAGTAGGTGAACGGACCAGAACTTGGTTTTATTGTCCGATTAAAACTGAGAGCAGAGAAGTGTCGAAGTATCGGTGCCTGTATATCTGGCTCTAGAACAGTTATAACCAAGATATTATCGAAATTTTTGTTAGTTCTATATCTCTTTCTAATTTTACGTTTTGTCATGGAAATCAATAACTTGAAAATGTTCCATGCGAAAGTGTGCGCAGGTCAACAATTGTTGATTGAAATTTTCACCAAGTTTGTTTAGTTCGAGTTATTAATTGCGCTCTTTCTGAACATGAACTTCACTAAAAAACATTGCTCGTTCGTTCGCTAAACAATCGTCATGCCAAGAGTCGAAGTTCGATAGAGACATACACCCTCAAAGTAACTGTTGGATGGATCTATTAATTGAAGATTCGTTGATAATATTAACCGATGAACACGTTCGTTATCTATCTGATTGAGTATCGGAAAGATGTGTAATAGCTAGTCGTCTCTCCTGCTCCGATGAATATTTCCTAGTTTCATGTTAGCTTAGTAGAACTGTAGATAATGCTTTGGCGAAAAAGAGAAGGTTTTTGTATCTGTTGGAAATAGTATTCCATAAGCACACAAAGTGCTCCAGTTAATGCACCACATCTGTTAAAAAGAGCATTTCGAACAGCAATCTCGTCGCTTTCCCATAAAATAAAATCGAAGTTATATAAAAACAAGTAAGAGCAATGGAAGTTTTTGTATCCAAGTAGTTCATTAAACCGCATTAATTATAATTCGTGATTCATTTATGCATCGAGGTTAATATTTTTTCTTTCGATATTATAAATAGAAATAATTAATTCTTTTACTTATTGGCATGTGCGCGATATCTAATGAATAAATGCGTTTGCCCTTCATCAATTTTTAACTTAGATTATCCTATTAACACATACACATTGATTCTTAGAAAGAAAAGACAAAATGAAGATAAAAACCATTCCAATAGATCTATAGGCGGTTTTATTCAGAACGAACATTCATCAAAAGAAAGTAACAACAGAAACTCCAATACTTGTTCCTATGTATTTCAGCTTTTAAAATACATTAGACGCCGAAGTAAGTTGGAAAAAAGTGGATTTACTAGAAAATCGACAATCTTGCAGATTTGAAAAACTGCATAAGCTTTCCTAGGAGTCTTTCAGTACATATTTTCATGTAGTATCCTACTGTCCAGACTTACCCACACCCACACTCACCCTCACCCTCACCCAAGAACGGTCCACTACAACACAAGAAAATAGCACATATTGCATTGCACCGCGCAATGCATGGTGGCGGATATTTACGGTCTTCGAGACATCGAAGATTGGTATGGTCAATCGTATCTATAGTGATCTTCAATGATGGATCTTAATCATCGTTTGATGATCCTTGTTAGTGTCATGATATCTTTCTTTTAGAGGATGAAGCTATATATTTACATTCTCGCCTTCCGGTTATAATGGAAGAAGACTGCTATTCTGTAATGTAAGCGGTGTGTTATTTATTATTTATCTCGAGACGAAAAGCGAAAAAAGAAAACATGCAGTCCATTGTCATATACACAATGAGATTGTCTTATTTCTTCTTTTCTAAACTGTTATATTGGATGTGTAATATCGTTCGTGCTATTTGTAGATATCGGTCAACGTTCCGTCGAAATCTTTGTCGGTATAATTTCGATGGACAAACAAATGTAATAAAAGTAAGCATCGACGGAATGAATGAAACAAAATATCCAATAAGCAACAACCATAGATTATCATTTGACTTAATACAACCGGCAATGAACGAAATAATTAAACGAGGTGTACTGAGTATCAATAGAATAATTGGAGTAATGAACAGATAACGATGTTGTTGAAATTGTTCACTAATCAGACTTCGATAACTTTGTTTCGGATGTACAAGTCGGTGTTGTCGAACAAGTATCGTAATGATAATTGGTCCTGAAATCAAATTAATAACAAATGGAACGATAAAATGAAATACATTTATTGCTGAATTATACGTTTGCAAAGCAGATGAATAGACAACAGTACACCAGATTCGCTTGCTGCTATCATCATCATCGTCATATATCAATCGTCGATGAACAGGATCATGAGTAAATGTACCAATGATAATAGTGAGAAGAATCATCATGATATATTTGGCTCTTTTTTTGCTTTTTTTCTTGTCAAACCTCAATCTTTCCGTCACGACACTCATTCGATCTATAGCTACACATGCATTCAGCCATTGAGCCATGTTAAGACATACTTGGAGTAGAAAATCCACTGATAGACATTGGAATTGTAGAAAATATTGATTTGTGAGATAAGTTTTTTGTGCAATGTAAAGTACCGAGAATTTAAATACGAAGAAAACTGTGATAAGAAGGCCACTCACTGACGAACCCAATAGATACAAATCTGAACCCACTTCGTTTACTTCCGGGCTCTTAAATGTTAACATGCAGAGTACACCATTGACCAATCCTATTAGCATTAAAAGTATAGTTACCCCTACGCTGATTTGCACAATAGCTGGTTGATTTCCTAGATGAATATGTGGTTGAATGTGATAGCCTAACACAGCATCAAGAGAAAGACCGAATAAATGTGAACTGAATTGACAACGAGCGCCATGAAAACATGCTCGACAAACACAAACTGATGTTTGGGGACAAGTTGCTTTGTCTTGTAAACATTGAGCTTCGTTCTCACAGTTGCTTCTACCAAAACAATCATGTTTGATTGTGTGATTGAATTCGAAGCAATTAGCTATTCTTTGATGGCCAAAGTTTGTACATACACAAAAGTGAACTTCATCGTAAAAACAAGTCAATTGTGGTGAATGTGTTTGACATGGTAAATGATAATATTTTATGCGACGAAGAAGATGAGATTTACTAATCGTTTCGTTGAATAGTTCTGTTATATGTTTGCAGCGACTTAATGAACTAATCGTTTGAGTAATGATTGCTGATTGATTGTACACTTTTTGAAGCGTAATCAAATGAAAACTTTTGTCAGGCAGTTCAGCAAGAGCAACGTGAAATGGGCGTGACCATTGGACAATCACTAATCTCTGATTGGTAGTAATCGATTTCGATGTAGAACCATTTTCAGGTGCAGCAAGTTGCATCTGTCGAATGAAATGAAATACTATAAATTGCGGCAAAGTAATCTCTTGGTCGAAGAACACAGTGATTCTTGTGTCAGCAATTTCACATCTCTCTCCACTAAAACCTTTCGGACAGACACATGTAAATTTCTGGTCCGATATTGCATATTCATCGGTGGGTATGCATTGACCTCCATTTCGGCATGTCATATTCTTATTAATTTCGCATACAATGTTTTGCAAAAAACAAAGCGGACCCCATCTATTTACAGGACAAACACATATCGATCGATTGTTAGCTGCAATGCTGATACACAAGGAACCAGGTGCACACTTGCAAATATTCTTTTGCGGGATATGACAGTTTTTTCCTGACCATCCTTGATTACACTGACAGAAATTGTCTCTCGGCTGATTCGAATACCGAATGCATCGTCCATGAACACATCGTTGTTGCGAACAAGCTTCAACATTATCTCGTATACGCGGAATATCCAACAGAACAGCGACACGATAGACAGGTAAGAAAGTAAAGCTAAGTGGTATCAATAAACTTCCCCGATACGTCAATGAAATCGTTTCATAAATATCAATATGAATTGCATATTTCTTTGTCTGATTCATTGGTCGAGTTGAATAAAGTAAATAAGCGTTGAACTTCTTTTGACAATCTCTGATGTATAAATAGGTAAATTTGTGATAAGAATGAATAATTCGTTCATTACTCTCATCAACCAATGAGACAATCAATGAAAATAATGTTCGCAAAGAGTGGGAAAGTACTCGAAATTGCATAGTCAGGCTAACTCGCTGATTTTGATATTGACATATATTTCCATAAAAGCTAGGTGGACAAAGGCATGTTAATTCACTTGAGTTCTTTTCACTATCTAACCACACATGCAAGGCCAGACCGCGATGACAGTGTTGATGATATTGACGAGTCGTTGCTAAAGTAGGAGAATCAACGAGTATGACATCGGTGCCTTTTTGCGTTCTTGGTCGGGATAAATTTTTGTTTTCATTAAGTGAAAAATGTGAAATTCCTGGTTTACGAGTATCGTCGAGATGGTCACAAAGAAAGTTTTCGACATCAGAACGATTTGATCGATAGATTTCGCCACAAAAAGGTTTGAAAGAAGTCACATTTCTACTCGAATAGCAAAATTGTGTATCAGTCTGGTTTGCACATTGACTTTCAACGCATAACGTACTGAGAGAGACACAAGCGTCGTCGATGTGATTTGTGCAATGAAATGTCTGATCATTTGGTTCATAATTGTTCTGTCGACATAGCTTTGGTTCATCGAGAGCACCAAGACAATCAATGATGCCATCATTAGCTTTATCGAGCGGCAAACACATAAATTGATTTGTCTTTGGTGAAACACATACATGATGATAGTGTGGACAATTCAATGGTGGTGATGGATCGCAATCAATTTCATCTGCTCCGTTGAAACAATTCCAAAAACCATCACATCTTGTATAAGTGTTATTGCATTGCCAATGTTCACAATCTGTTTCATCAGTTTCATTTCGTCCATCGATGATGATAGGTATGAGTTCTGTAAAACCATCGCAAATCGTTGGAAAATATATATGTTTTCTCATGAAATGCTTATCGAAGTGTTCATCATCGCATAGATTGTATTGATCTATTGGGCAATCGCAAATTCCGTTGTTAACATAATGTGGAGGAATGCACCAACTCGCTGCCGTACATTTCAATGGCTTATTAGATCCATGTCCCACACAAGATAGCGGAATTCCACTACATTGTTCATCATCTCCATAATTACAATCCTTTTTACCGTCACAAACGCGACGTTTTGGGATGCATTTCGACGAATTGATACATTGATACATTCCCGAACTGCTACAAATTAAAGGATCATTGTAAACTACTGTATTACATTGATAAAGCTGTTCATGTAATGGTATGATATACGTATCCTTCCAGACGCCTTTTACAAATGCAAATTGTGCAAATCGTAATGGAAAATCTGCAGGACGACGACATGTACTATTTTGCAATGATAACAGTGTTTCAGTAGGCATGAATCCTCCACATAATTGATCATCATAGCATACATACTGTGGTGACGTTCTTTTGTAATTAGGTTTGTTGAGATCTTCGATTATGTAGACAAAGTGTATATGGCCAAAGACAGCTGGTGCCCACGGCATATACAACATTTCTGAACAAGTTCTATTAATTATATTATGACATTCACCATTTTCACAAAGAGACGAACATGTTGCATCTGATCGATGTGGAATGTCTAAAAGACATTTGAATGCAGACCAACATTCAGTAGATACCGACTTTGGTGTATAGGAGAACATCGCTTCTAAGAGTAATGTATCACGTTTTTCTAGACATGAACTCGTGAACTTTACTCGGTGTACTATTCGTCTTAGAGAACATGCTATATCTTCGTACGCAAACGTTGGTGCATTTGTAACACTCTTGTAGAATTTATATTTTATATAACTTTCATCTGATTGATCGACGCATTCAAAAGTATTACTATCGTCACGATGAAATATTCTAGGAATACATTGACCATTAATACATTGATATTCATTATCTTCACATGTGTTCAATTCCAGTTTCCAGCAAGGCTCTTCATCAATTCCATTTTGGCAATCAGTAATACCATCACATATATCACTCCAATCAAGACATACCGCTGAAGAGTCACTATAGCATTGTAAGTGTATATAGCAGGTCAATGTTGTTGGATCATATTCTTGAAGATAAAAATTATTAATGATCTCCTGCAACGATGAATGATAAGGTTCATAAGCATCGAATGAGTACTGACACAATGGACCAAATCTTGGCAGTGTACAATTGTAAAACACGTATGTTCCCATCGATACGAATTCATCAGAAGTTGGAACGTAATTCGAATACAATTGATAACGTTCAACAACATCGATTGGTGCGGACCAGTGGTATAATTGTTCGCTCGTAATATTTTGTTGAAGTAGCTGAGCAAAAGTAAAATTTCGATCTTGACTATTTGTTCGTATAGTCCATTTTCTTGGCCATTCACTCATACAATACGAAATAATTTGATGAGAATCAACCCCTTTTTCCATTAAAGTAGCAACGTGAATGCAATCATGTTGTAGGATAACGTCATTTCCATTATTATTTGACCAATCAGTAAGATCAAGATTGATTTGGGGTGACCCAATCGCAAGATATAAGAATGTGAGATAAAATAAATTTCTCATAGGCAGCATCATATAGCAGAAAAAAAGTGAAATGGCAATTGTTGCCGTACTTTTCTTTTTTATATTATCAACAGGTGTTCGCAAATGGTGATTATCGCAGTTGATCTAGTTATATAGTATGAAAGGCTTTAAGATGGATCTGACATAGAAATAAGTAAAGACTGTTATTTGGGCTGCAAATGAGAAATTCAGCTACATATATATTTTCCGTTCTTTTTGTCTAGGAATAATATGACAGATGTCAGCTTCACATATTTATCTTTGAACGGAATAGCATAAATGGAAAAAAGAGAAAAAATTAATTGTTAAATTAAAAGGCATAAGGTTTGTTTTATGAGTTTTTCACAGAGAAAACCAATGATCTAATAATTATTTTAGAGCTAAATGACGAATGTATAACACATCTGCGCTCTTAACATGTAAGTACTTTTTGTGATAAATACGTGAAGACAACAAAGAAAAAGAAACATAACAACAACAACAGCGTCATCAGTTTCTTTGAAACAAATGATTGTGAATTTGTTCCTCTTAGATCCTTGAAAAACTGTATTTCATATGGTGAATAGGGTTTTCCAGTTGCGTTGAAAATGTCATGAAACCACACAAGTGGGATACTAGCATTGACAGGTGATCCCCATGGAAAGTATGTTTGAGTTTTACCCGCCACAAGTCCCCAGTTGACAGCACCGATATTTTCTTTCTGGAAGTAGATCGTGTTCGTGTGAAAGGTGCTACCGATCGTTCGAGCCATGTATTCAGTACAAATCAATGGTCGATTGAATTGCCGCAGTTGATCAACTTGTATCATCAGATTTGCTAAGGGACTATAATTGTGAAAAGAAATTATGTCGGATGCTTCTAGTTCGAATTGAGCTAATGTTTCATCCAATGGACCAGCAATACCGAATGTTAGCGGCTGATCAGGATCAGCAGCAACAGCAGCAGAATAGATCTCATGCAGAAGAGGTAAAACGATAGGCACTTGATGGCTGCCTTGAGGTTCATTATACAAATCCCAGATAATTACACGAGAATCACGCGAAAAACGAGAGAGTATATCGCTGGTGTATCTAATGAAAATAAAAGTCATTTATTCTTTATTGACACTTTTTATCTCTACTCACCTTTTCAAGAGATTCCATTTACTCTGATCCAAAAGTAAGGCTTGTCCAGGACAACGAACCCACTGCGAATTATGTTGACCTGGTATAGGTTCTGGCTGTGGGCCCAGTTTGGGATCAGGTCGCCAACATTCATCAAACAGAACAAAGATTATTTTAATATCATATCGATCAGCGATGCTGAGAAAATCATCAATCTTTCTGAAATAATCCTCAGCATCCTGTTGATAGAAAAGAACATGAAGGAAAACACGCATGATATTCATGTTGATCTGCGAAGCCCAGCCAAGTTCACGTTCCATAGTAACTTTATCAAACGTTTGCCACATATCAATTACGTTCACAGCTGATGAAGGTACAAAGTTTGCTCCAAAGTACCAAGGTTGTTTGGCGTACCAGGCATTTGCTTCTTCAGATGTCCAACGAGCACTGTCCGCCCCGACTTTGAGACATCCGCAAACGATTAGCAAGCCCAGAGATAAGAACATTTTCTTCTCAAGAGCAAATGATTGTTAAACTAACTTTATATTCTACAATTCTAGATCTTGTGTTAGAGACCTCTGTGGTAAGATGACAAATCGACACGTGTTATATTACATGAAGTTCAATACATGTTCATATTGCGTTAACATTTCTAACACGGTTGCTATGAACAATATTACCTCTCTCACTAATATCTTTCTTTTCAACTTTGACGATTGTAACAATTTACAACATTTAAAAAGAATAATCTATAGATTAATATAGGGTTTTTTTTTCTGAAAAGACGTAGCTGTCGCCACATTACATTCATATATTCATTTGCATAAAATAAGTTGTTGACTGCTATCTGCGCGTATGAATCATTGTAAAACAAACATTTGACCCAATAATCGACGTGAGATAGAGCTTCTTCTTTGTACTCAACGTGATTTGGAACATTCCTTCAAAACCACTCTCATTTCCAGTGACTTTGCTTTGACTTCGTGCCACACGAATGATTAGAATTGTAATAGCAAATGTTCCGAGATAGTGGGAAAGTGTATTATTCTCATAATATTTAAAGTAGTAATAGTCATTCCAACGGCGATCTTTGATTTTTTAAATAACACTAAACTCGGAAAGATACTTGCTTGAAAACGACCCCACGTAATCCAACTTGCTGACCAAAATGTGTCTCGTATCGAGACGCAAAGAAGGTAAGATATCACATTGAGTTTGCACGAGATTAAATTGACTAAATGATGCCAAGCAAAATCTATCGAAATATGAGCGAAGAGACTTGTTCAAAAAAGCGGACCAATAGAACACGTGTAAACAATTTAAGTAATTGAATGATCAATCGCAAGTAAAGAATCAATAGCAGATCCAAGTGCGTATGTTGTATATTCACACTGATGATCGCGAGAATATCTCGTATCTCCTCGAATGCAGCGACCATTGGAGAAACACGAACTACATCGATCGACAGACGCATCCAAATCCAAACAGTTGACATGAGTATAATTTGATTCGCACGCACACACATACACGCAGATAATTCTCAACGTGAAAGCATAACAGATTCGGATAAACTTGACATAAACGATGTTATTCGAAGATAGCTGTTTCCGATATTTGTATACTAATATGAGAACTTATTTTACAGAAATGGTATAATGTCGTTGGATATGGGCAATGAACTGATTTTGATATTAATTTCATTTTCTCGGATGTACAAGATGCACTATTCGAAATTGAATAAATGATTGTATGATTTGAAAACATCCTCAGGTGGTGCAATGGTTTGCACGTGGTGAAATTGAATAGAAGGAAGTACTCATGCATGACTTGTTGATTTTAATTAAGAAATTTTAAACTGCGAGGATTCACATAATAAAGTTGAAACACCGAAATAGAGGCCTGCAGGGTATAACATTTTCATAACCTGTATCCTGCCCTGCTGAAGACTTCGTAACCCGAAACCTGCCCTGCGCTTTGAATTTTTTTCTACAACCTGCTGTACCCTGCCCTGCCCTTGTATAGAAAGCAAAAACAGTAAGTTTAAGGTTTTCGATGAATTTTACATGGCTTTTCATTACGTTTATTTTAATCATAGAGTAGATAAATAAACATCATGTATTTCGAAAATTTCAAATCATCAAAATATCATCTACAATATCGGGATCTAATGATTGTCTTCTTTTTTCTGAAATCCGGCCTGACGCACTGAACACACGCTCAGATGTAGCAGAGCTTGCTGGAACACCAAGTAATGACTTTGCTAACAAGGAAAGTTGAGAAAATATCAAAGAGTGCTTTTCCCACCATCCCAATAATGATTCATCTTTCGAAATTGGAAGTTTGGTGTTAATATATCGATCGACTTCATCACAATTATCATCATCGTCTTCATCGATATTTCCTGCAAATTCTTCCATAACATTACCAGGTAGAATAAAATCTTTCTTCTTTTTCTTTCTTCCATTTTTCACAGTCTTTGCAGTTGTCGTAGATGATGAAGATGATTGTTCTTCATGAATTCCAATCGTTTTCATAATTTTACGAGTATCATTATAGATTTCTTCACGTAATCTATTACTTAATGTCTAAAATAGAACTCCAAACATCAAAAGATATGTGGCATTGTAACATATTCTTACCAAAAACCTTTTTGCACTTGGGTAAAGAAAAGTGGCAATATAATNGATTTTGATATTGACATATATTTCCATAAAAGCTAGGTGGACAAAGGCATGTTAATTCACTTGAGTTCTTTTCACTATCTAACCACACATGCAAGGCCAGACCGCGATGACAGTGTTGATGATATTGACGAGTCGTTGCTAAAGTAGGAGAATCAACGACTATGACATCGGTACCTTTTTGCGTTCTTGGTGGGGGTAAATTTTTGTTTTCATTAAGTGAAAAATGTGAAATTGATGGTTTACGAGTATCGTCGAGATGGTCACAAAGAAAGTTTTCGACATCAGAACGGTTTGACCGATATATTTCGTCACAAAAAGGTTTGAAAGAAGTCACATTTCTATTCGAATAGCAAAATTGTGTATCAGTCTGGTTTGCACATTGACTTTGAACGCATAACGTACTGAGAGAGACACAAGCGTCGTCGATGTGATTTGTGCAATGAAATGTCTGATCATTTGGTTCATAATTGTTTTGTCGACATAGCTTTGGTTCATCGAGAGCACCAAGACAATCAATGATGCCATCATTAGCTTTATCGAGCGGCAAACACATAAATCGATTTGTCTTTGGTGAAACACATACATGATGATAGTGTGGACAATTCAATGGTGGTGATGGATCGCAATCTATTTCATCTGCTCCGTTGAAACAATTCCAAAAACCATCACATCTCGTATAAGTGTTATTGCATTGCCAATGTTCACAATCTGTTTCGTCAGTTTCATTTCGTCCATCGATGATGATAGGTATGAGTTCTGTAAAACCATCGCAAATCGTTGGAAAATAGATATGTTTTCTCATGAAATGCTTATCGGAGTCTTCATCATCGCATAGACCGTATTGATCTTTTGGACAATCGCAAACTCCATCGTTAACACGATATGGAGGAATGCACCAACCCGCTGCCGTACATTTCAATGGCTTATTAGATCCATGTCCCACACAAGATAGCGGAATTCCACTACATTGTTCATCATCGCCATAATTACAATCCTTTTTACCGTCACAAACGCGACGTTTTGAGATGCATTTCGACGAATTGATACATTGATGCATTCCCGAACTGCTACAAATTGCAGGATCATTGTAAACTACTGTATTACATTGATAAAGATGTTCATGTAATGGCATGATATACATATCCTTCCAGATGCCTCTTACAAATCCATGTGATGTAAATCGTAATGGAAAATCTTTAGGACGACGACATGTACTATTTTGCAATGATAACAGTGTTTCAGTAGGCATGAATCCTCCACATAATTGATCATTATAGCATACATACTGTGGTGATGTTGTTTTGTAATAAGGTTTCTTGAGATCTTCGATTATGTAGACAAAGTGTATATGGCCAAAGAAAGCTGGTGCCCATGGCATATACAACATTTCTGAACAAGTTCTATTAATTATATTTTGACATTCAAGATCTTTACAAAGAGACGAACATGTTGCATCTGATTGATATGGAATGCCTAAAAGACATTTGAATGCAGACCAACATTCAGTAGATACTGACTTTGGTGTATAGGAGAACATCGCTTTTAAGAGTAATATATCACGTTTTTCTAGACATGAACTCGTGAACTTTACTTTGTGTGGTAATCGTCTTAGAGAACATGCTATATCTTCGTACGCAAACGTTGGTGCATTTGTAACACTCTTGAAGAATTCATATTTTATATTACTTTCATCTGATTGATCGACGCATTCAAAAATATTACTATCGTCACGATGAAATATTCTAGGAATACATTGACCATTAACACATTGATATTCATTATCTTCACATGTGTTCAATTCCAGTTTCCAGCAAGGCTCTTCATCAATTCCATTTTGGCAATCAGCAACACCATCACATATATCACTCCAATCAAGACATACCGCTGAAGAGTCACTATAGCATTGTAAGTGTATATAGCAGGTCAATGTTGTTGGATCATATTCTTGAAGATAAAAATTATTAATGATCTCCTGCNAATAGTCTACTTACATCGATGCTTTCACCATGATGTTTTTTTGCTAAATACTCATATGCTCCTAAGAATAAAGTATACATTGAAGCGATATACTAAGTTTTCTATGATCGTTACCGGCGAGAGCATTAGCCGAACTAAAGTGAGAAGGAAAGCGAATTGTCAGTCAAGATATTTCAAGTATGATTACCAACTGCCGATACTTGACTGATTTTCGACAGTTGTCATATCATTCCGTAGGTCAACTTTCGGTGGAAGATCTTCGGGACTGTAGATTAAACGATTATTAAAGGCTTGACGTAGATTGTGCTTATGTGGCAAACGAGCAGATGGCCAGATACCATTGAGACGACACTTTCGATTGAAAACTTTATTTAATAAGTATGTTTTCAATGGCATCGATTGAAGCTAGTTTGATTGTATGACAAAAGGAAAATGAATAGACTTATGTATGTGTGTGTTTTTTTCTTCCATCATTCAAGCACCTACAAACAACGTGTACTCAAAATGTTATTGCCGGTACTGTTTCTTCCTCGCTTCTTTCAAACGATTAGTAAGCGAGGAAAGAGACGCTCGTCGCATTTTTTCTTTGATTCAGACGGCTCGTGCTCGCCCCGGCTTGCGTTCTGTCGGAGAATGTACTTTTTTGTGAACTGAAGCCCTATAGCCGACGTCATTCGTACTAAATGAGTAATCGTTGCAAAACACATTCTATAATTGTTAATAAGTAGTCAATAGTTTCAGTCAGCTAAAGTGAATAATGAATGTTCACGAAGATGACTGAAATAGTCATCTGTATGACGCGAAGATCGACAGCAAAAATACCTTTATTTTCTTTTCTAGTATTCAGATCTTCAGGTATAACGGAGATTGTTAGTTAGACGAGATATCGCGATAAATAAAAATAATAGAAGTTTATTCCTTCAGGCGATCGAATCAATACATACGATCTCTTTTGAGAAAATATCTGTAAATCGTTCTTGGTCGAAATATTTCTATAAATAGCACGAATTATTTGTTGTTGACGATAATTTGATCAGTAATTGTTCAGAATAACTAGTGAAACAGCGTCGTCTATATCCACAAAAGTCCAATCTGCTGATCAGAAGTTCTGCTGTATGACTATCTATTTGCTTTTTAAGTCCAACAAAAATGAACTTGGCGAAGTCTAATCAATTGCATAATTTCTCATTTATTTATTTCACTGATTTGGTAGAGAATACGTATTGAGACAAGTTAAGCTGGTTGAGAAAACGAATGCTCAATTTTAAGCTACACGCACGATATTTCATTTGCATACCTACTAAAACCACCAGTAGAGGCCTGCAGGGTATAACATTTTCATAACCTGAAACCTGCCCTGCGCTTTGAATTTTTTTCTACAACCTGCCGTACCCTGCCCTGCCCTTGTATAGAAAGTAAAAACAGTAAGTTTGAGGTTTTCGATGAATTTTACATGGCTTTTCATTACGTTTATTTTAATCATAGAGTAGATAAATAAACACCATGTATTTCGAAAATTTCAAATCATAAATATATCAAAAACAATGTTACATATTTTGGAAGTTTCTGATCATCAAAATATCATCTACAATATCGGGATCTAATGATTGTCTTCTTTTTTCTAAAATCCGGCCTGATGCACTGAACACACGCTCAGATGTAGCAGAGCTTGCTGGAACACCAAGTAATGACTTTGCTAGCAAGGAAAGTTGAGGAAATATCAAAGAGTGCTTTTCCCATCATCTCAATAATGATTCATCTTTCGAAAATGGAAGTTTGGTGTTAATATATCGATCGACTTCATCGCAATCATCATCATCGTCTTCATCGATATTTCCTGCAAATTCTTCCATAACATTACCACGTAGAATAAAATCTTTCTTCCACTTTTCACAGTCTCTGCAGTTGTCGTAGATGATGAAGATGATTGTTCTTCATGAATTCCAATCGTTTTCATAATTTTACGAGTATCATTATAGATTTCTTCACGTAATCTATTACTGAATGTCTAGAATAGAACTCCAAACATCAAAAGATATGTGGCATTGTAACATATTCTTACCAAAAACCTTTTTGCACTTGGGTAAAGAAAAGTGGCAATATAATGCAATGAGGTTATGCGAAATTTTTCATCCAGCATTTTCGATACAACACTTTTATATTGAGCTATTAGTAAGTGATCATCGTCTTTAAGTTCACACGAATTTTTCAATATCGTGAACCAAGGCACTACCAGGCGGAGGGTTGGTGTTTTATCAACAGACATTTCCTCGCTTGCTACTTTGAATAAAGATAAAAATTTAACAAAATCCATTACTACTTTTCTACTAATATCGTTTAAATAAAATGTTTCATTGCGATCAAACAATAAATCTTCACATTGTTGAAAATTTAATGAAATAGATTCCAACATATCATGAATTGAAGTCCAACGAGTATCGACATTCAACTTGAGACTGGTTGGTAATGATTGGTTCATTTCACATCGTTTGAAATGGGTGCATACACTTTGACAAGATTTAATTAACGATTCGAAACTAGGACATAATGTAACACCATTTTGTAAAGCCAAATTTAAACAATGACAAACACAACGAAGATGAACTTCTCCTTCTACGCACAGGAAAAATGCCATAAAATGAAAGCTTGAGAAAAACAATACTTACTCAGACCACAAACAAGATTCGATCCATTGTCAGTTACATAAATAATATGAAATTCATTTGGGTCAATGCCATAACGTGATAAAGTAGCAAAAATTTGATCTCGAGTATTGTCACCCGTTTTCGATTGCTCGAACAATGAAGTTTGAAAGCATGTCACTGATATTCTGTGCATCTTTGGAATAATGAATATTTATAGTCAAATAACTCTCACTAGTACCACTATTCTTCCAATAATCTGTAGATATACCTAACAGCTTCACTTGTTGTA